CTGCTCTCCTGATGTGATGATTTCATGTCACTGCACATCTCTGTGCTTGGGGTGGAATGCCAAGGGGAGCTGTCAGCCCGTTCAAAAATCTGTTGTCATTTATTTTGTCACCTGCTGCGGTTTTCATTACCAGCCCTTAAATGCTTCATCTGCGGTAAAACTTACATGTGCTGATATGTGTGTCCTGTGTGGAAAATAGCCATCCATGCACCAGCCCCGTAGCCTCAGATGCAGTGTCATGTGTGAAGCAGGCACTGCTGTCCCACGCGGGTGTGGACGCCCTTCCAGGGGCTGGCGGGGAGGAAGTCTTGCCCTGGCCGTGGTAGGCGTCTGGGTGGCTGGGCATGGAAAGCAGGATCAGGGGACCCGGTTCAGGGGAAAGACGGGAGAGGTGCCCGTGGTGTCTGAGCTCATTCTCACAGACGTAAGGGCCAGGGCCTCCTCCGGGGGAACAGCTCCAGGGCCTTGTCTGCTGCCCCGTGCTGTGGGACTGACTGGGTCAGTGCTGGAGAGCGTTGGAGAGAAGCATGCGTCACACACAGGGTGTCCCCCCAGAATGCATTTGCACTCTGAGTGACTATAAAATCAGTGTGTATTAACATACAGTTCCTTTTTCAAAATTTAAAAGAATCTAGGGAAATGAATAATTTTTTTTCTGTCAACGCCTGTGTTCAAACTGATGACCGTTCTGGCCCAGGCACTGCTGATAACGTGAGGCACTGGGATCGCAGGCATCAAGGATCATTTTGTTCTGTATCTGTGCGCCCTCAGTTCATCCACGGATGCTGGTTTTGTACTGTAAACTTTATCTTTTATGTTTCTCCATTAAAAAATAAGTCTACTGGCACTTGAGGATAAATTTTCTTTGTCCACCCATTATTTCAAACCAGTTAAACCTGAAAAGGAGTGAAAATTAAGTGAATTCTCAGCTGTTAAAGTGTGTATACCTTTTTTGGGGGGACACCCTGTAGATCCTCTGTAGTACTTATTTCTTTGGGTTGGGAGGAAAATCATTGAGCTTTAAATAGCACCAAAATCATTAACAACTTGGCCATTAAAACACTAATTGTAGTTTTCTTTCTTTGCTTCACGCTGAGAAGTAAGACCACCTTAGGGAATGCCCACGAAAACTCAGAGGAGCTCGAAAGTGCCCGCGAGGCGAAGGAGAAAGAGGCTGCGTTGTAAGTTACGTCCCTGAGTCGCCATGGGGCCAGCCTGGCTATTGGGGGTTTTCACTTGGGATCTTTTAATACACCCTTCAGCTGGGCTGCTTTCACCCAGGGCACTCTTTCTAAAATGGTGAGCGTGGGCACGGCCATGGCTGTGATTGGTCAGCAGCTTTTGGAACCAGATGTGTCTGAAATATCATTTCTGACTCTGCCAGGTATCGGGTGCCTCGGGCGACACCTTGACATTCCTCCCAGGGCCGTAGGCTCTCCTGTAGGGCCTGCGGATAACTGCTTAGTGGATTCTATAAATAAATGCGTTGAGATTTCAGTGGGAAATACACCCATTGTACTCTCCTCTTCATCCCCAACACTCACATCAGCACACACACAGCCCCCTGCCCTCAGCCGCTGCTCCTGCCCCTCCTCCCCCCTGTCTCTGCCCGACTATTCCTGTGATGGGTGGGGTGCCTGTCTCCCCAGGGGTGTTGATTCCTGGGGAGCCCTAATGCTTTGTCCCTGGGAGTCCTTCCTGCACGACAGGCCACAGTGACAAGCTTGTGCTGCCCAGCGCAGTGACCAGCACACAGCTGGTGATCAGTAAGTAGTTGTTGAATAGGTGAGCAAACGAATGAACGGTGCCCATATTCTGGTCTCGGGACCCAGAGGATGTAGTGCCCCAAGTCTGCACACACACAGCCCTTGACTTGCTTGCTCTCTTCTCCACTCTAGGGCCTTCCTCCTGCCCGGTGGCTCCCCTCTGCTGTCAGGACCCGGGCCTAGAGTTACAAGTGAGAAGTTGTCTACAGGAAGTTGAGGGATGTAGTTGGAGGGTGGCTCAGGTGCAGGTTCAGGGACATAACTTTGTTACTGGGTGGCAACGGGAAGCACTGCTGAGTATAAAGCAGAATGGCCAGGTTTTACTCTAATTCTCCGCAATTTAAATAATCATATTAAAGCCTGGCTGGTGTGGCTCAGTGGTTGAGCATTAACCTATGAACCAGGAGGTCACGGTTCAATTCCTGGTCAGGGCACATGCCGGGTTGTGAACTCGATCCCCAGTGGGGGACATGCAGGAGGTAGCCAATCTATGATTCTCTCTCATCGTTGGTGTTTCTATCTCTCTCTCCCTTCCCCCCCCCCCCACCCCCGGCCAGATACACCCCTGGCCTAATGTGCATCTCTTGATGTTGCAGCTCAGGAGCCAGAACTGCCCTGGGAGGAGAAAAGATAAGCGTTTCCAGTTAAACTAGTTAATCACTGTCCCATAAAAGCAACATGGAAAATTTTCAATTTCTGTCCAACTGTTGTTATTTCAGTAGCACTGTTGGTAGTATAGGTCAGGTATATTCTGGATTGAATAATTATCTGGGAGCAATTCCAAGTGTTTTCCAAATTTTATATTCAATTCTTCAAAAGATTTTCAGCAGTTGGGGGTTGTGCATCCATAGAATGCCATTCCTATTGAATGTTTTATATGAAGAGCCAAGCTCAGTTTACAGTGAGTCACACCTGCGGTCCTGCCCATGGGCATTTTATTATCCAAATAAGGGAGGACTTCCTTATAAGGTACATGTCACCAGAGGCAATATGATGTCAGGGCCCCAAGAATAGCTTGACTTATTATTATGGAGTATTTTTATGGATAAATCATGTGACATGGAGGTATTTGGTTTAAAAATGTATGTCTTTCATCAATTTTTTCTAGAAATTAAAATATCATTTTAAACAGTCTCTGTATGTGATCCATTTTTCTCTTTGTGGCATTTGCCAAAAAGATAGGTAAATGTCACGTGAAAGCTCTTCTGTGCACTATGGAAATTTTCCTTTGGGAGTTCTTATTTAAAGTATAGGCTTCGGAATCTTACAATTTTTCTTTTCTTTTTTTTTTTTACTATATTTTATTGATTTTTTTACAGCAAGGAAGGGAGAGGGATAGAGAGCCAGAAACATCGATGAGAGAGAAGCATCCATCAGCTGCCTCCTGCACACCCCCTACTGGGGATGTGCCCACAACCAAGGCACATGCCCTTGACCGGAATCAAACCTGGGACCTTTCAGTCCGCAGGCTGACGCTCTATCCACTGAGCCAAACCGGCTGGGGCCGGAATCTTACAATTTTAATGTGATATGAAATTGAATCAGCTTGGTTTTGTGAAGGAGCTGTTGGTCCCACTGCCACAAAAATAAAATTGAGCCCTGGCTGGCGTCGCTCAGTGGTTTGAGTGTCAGCCTGCACACCAGAGGGTCACAGGTTCGATTCCCGTAAAGGGCACGTACCTGAGTTGCAGGTCCAACCCCCACCCTAGTCGGGTTGGGTGTGAGAGGCACCCAGTCAATGTGTCTCTGTCACTTCAATGTTTCTCTCTCCCTCCCTCCCTCCCACCCTACTCCCTTCCACTCTCTCTAGAAATCAATGGAAAAACTACCCTCAGTCCTCAGGTGAGGACTAAAGTAATAAGAAGATTAAATTGAAATCACAGAGCAAGTGGTGTGGCTGACTTACTCCATCTTCCCAGCAGGATTGTTCCATTTGCGATAAACCCTGAACGGAACTGGTTTGGTCCTCGAGGCCCGTGTCCTGGAGTTTGGGGCTCTTCTGGAAAGGGGAGCTGCACGCCTGCGTCTAAGCTACTCCTATGGTTGTGGCTTTTTCAGAAAAATGACAACTTTGTCATCAAAGGCTTTTAAAATGTATTAGTTATTATTTGCTTTAGTCTCTCTCTTCCTAGTGGTGCAATTTGAGTCTTTTTCTTCATTTGTGGTGACTGACTTATGTTTTTTAAAATGTTTACCCATTCCTTTAACCCTTTTATTGTTTAGGCTCTTCTTCCGGGTTTTTTTCCGTTTGTTTGTTTTGTTTTGTTGTTGGTATCTTCTTATACATCTTAACTTTCCTTTTCCAACCTTTTGATCTTGGAGTCTCCAGTAGCAAGGTGGAAAGAACCCCCTCTCTGAGGCTGGCCCCGTTGCAAGGGCCAGGACACCTCTTTATTCCAGTTGAGACTTTACCTTTTGAACATGGAGCTCTAACCCTGCCCAGTCAGTGGTGTTGATGACAGGGAGGGTGTCCACCTTAGGATGAGAAGGGAAAAGAACTGAATGACCGCCTTGTTGCTAAAGGCTTTCCTGCATTCTAGAAGGGCAGTTTTAAGCTGAAATAAAGGCTCATGCACACACACAGAAACACGCGCGCACACACCTCTTCCAGGACACAAATCCTCATTGCTGTAGGATTTTTAAAGAAATACTTAAACTCACAAAGTGCTCTGTGGAGCATTCATAATAGGAGGAAGTTTGCATTCATTATCTCTTTTGGTCCAGAGATGTTTTCTGAAATGACCTCATCCCTACACTTACAGATGCCTCGAGTTTCTGCTTCAAAATGACGCCAACCCATCTCTCCGGGACAAGGAAGGCTACAATAGCATCCACTACGCGGCTGCCTATGGCCACAGGCAGTGTCTGGAATTGGTGAGTTGCTTTGCCTGGTCTTGTTTTCTCTGACACACACACACACACACACACACACACACACACACACACACACGCACCCAGACCGGACAGTGCTGGTCTTAATGCCTCAGCAAAGGGCCTGACTACCTAGTTAGCTCCCCCTAGAAACCACCTTGAAGATGTTCTGTGGTAAGTGATTCAGTTGTTTAACTGTATCATGTGAGATCTCTTTGTTTCTTTTCTGTCCATACTAATCTTAGAAATGGCTGACAATGAACTCTTTTCTACATTAACTTGGGCCGAGAATGTAAGACCTGTGTACGGACACAGTTTGTATTTTAAAGATCATTTGGACATATCAGATAAGCTCAGTATATGTTTCTGGAGACGCATGTAGCACCCCCATATTCAGGAGAACTGTTGTAAGATATTTTACATAATCATGAGGCATGTGGGCTCGTTACAGTCCAATGTGCAGTCTAGGGAA